AGAGGGGCCAAAATAGAGAAGCCAAAAACCTTACTATGGGTAGTAAAAGAATTTAGCCAAACATACGTGAATTGCTGGCTTTTGATTAAGAGATTTGCCATTAATACCAATTATTTTTGATAATTTTATCCTATTATTTTTTAAATTTGAATAAAATTAAAAAAATATCATGCTCTACAAATTTACTAAAAAGGGTTTGTATAGATCTTTCCTTAGACCCATGAATCATTTACATACTAAAGTTGTCCATCTCACTTCGTCGACAATTACTTATATTTTTTATCTTAGTTTTATTTACTTTATAAGTTTTTCTCCTTCTTTCATTTTTAATTCCTTTTGAGTTATGGGAAAGTTACTTCACACTATTTTTTATTTCACTTCAAATATAATATGTCATCTTTTGTAATTGATTCATGAGCATTTACATTTTTTTTTAAATATTCGTAACCCTTTAGTTAATAGACAATTTAAACTTAAAGTCTTACAATTATAATCCTAATGTTAGTCATCATATCAAATATGAATCATTCCTTTACTTTTTCTTTCAAATCCATCATTCTCTAGATTTTTAAGGTGTTATAAAAAATTTATTTACTGCACTAATATCTTAAACCACCACCTAGATAATGAGCTTCTATAGCTACTCCCATGTACTTTAGGTGCCATAATCATTGCGTTCATGAATTATTGCCTATGTTTTGCTTCTCAAACTACAGGGGCCAAGTGTCACAATGATAAAGTGAAAGTTTGTGGCCAGAGTGAAGCCTTTCTAAACATATTTTTGTGTTTTATTTTAAGAACCTGTTGTTTGATCTATGTTGCTTAGTTATGTACATAGGTTTTATATTATCTGCTTTCTTATAGTCTTGCCCACAATATGATATTTTAATTTTATTTGAACCCTTTCAGTCCGTGATTATAAGCTATGAAAAATTGTTATCATTTTACTAGTTTATATATCCATTCATCTTTAATAAAGTTTGCCTTAATATTATTATTATTATTATATGAAATATACGATCAGAGCATCAGTTCTTATAAAGGCTTTAATTGAGGTTAAGGTATGAAGGTCTAAAGTGCTATCAAAAGTCAAGTGAAAAAAGTTATCATCTTGAGGACATTGGTCATATTCTTATAGTTTGTATGTCTATCTTGCTTCATGTCTCTGAATACGATATCCATACAATATCTAACTACACAAAACACTCCTCAATAATGATCGCTTATAAATCTCCCTTTGATCTTAATTTGTGTTATTTTTTTCTTAATGGGAGCTTAAGAAAGCCAAGTTATTCTTTTAGATTGTTATTCTTAGGAATCCTCTTATCGATGATACTTGTAAATGTTTAGATTCCCCATTATATTTGATCCATATAGTTAAAAATACAAGTTTTGACGAAATTTCCTATCATTCTCTCATCTTACTTTGCAAATGCATCAGTCTCATATGACTAATCAATAGTTTCACTTGTACCTTAGGCCATTTTCTATTGATTCCTTAGCTCTAGTAAGTCGTCATCATCTCCTTTGCCTACTAACTACCCCTACGCATCCATTGTCCTTTTGTAACTTCATCAGCAACCCAAAAATCCTAACTCCAGTTTCTCTATAAAATAGTTATGGTATTCCGATAATAGAATTTCATCAAGACTGTATAAATCATAATAAACTGAATAAAGAATATTTTAGACATGAGTAGTTAACACCTGTATATCAAATACTAGGAGAAAAATTTATAAATTTTTTACTAGATATTGAAATTATTTGATAAGTTTTTGAATAATTTATAAATAATAGTGACTAAGTTGAGTATGTCACTCAGCATGAATGCCTTTCCAACAACAAACACTTTTGGTTTCATGATTGGTGATTACTTATATAAGCCATTTCCAATTGTTTATTAGAGTGGAGTATTCATATATCTTCCAAAATACAATTGATGTTTGTGGTAAAAAAAAAAAAAACATTCAAGAGAAACAAAATTTTTGCAATTGTTGGAGAGATATTGTACTATATTATAGGAATATGTAACATATTTTTAAGAGGGCTGTTGTGCGCAGTAGATGATATGGAGAAGAAACCAATATAAAGAATATCCAAACATTAACTATTACTAACTAGAAACTGATTATTATCATTGTACTATATTGCAAAATTGATACTGGGAAGCTATAGAGTAAATTGTGAGATAGGAATTATTACTTAGTTGTTGCATTAAATTTGCAACATATGTAAGATTGGTTTGAAGCTGTTGTTAGTGTTGGGAATAGTTGTTAGAATATTGAAAATGTTTTTGACATTAATCTACTTTTTTGAAGTCAAATTGTATATTAAGATTCATAGTAGGTGGGTTATTCAGATCAATTATTACTTTGAGAGTAGAGGAAAGAGAGTTTGAAAATTTTTCATGGTTGAAGATAAAAAGAAATTGTTTCTTCTATAAAAAATAATTGGTATAAATGAGTTTGATAGGAAATGAATGGTGTGAGATACTTTGATGGCTAATTTATATTCATAAAATCAAGCACAAAACTTACATGTAATTTTTCTTTTGACTATCTCTAGGATAAACTTCATCTGGTAAATTTTTTTTTTTTTTTTTTTGTTCAAAAGTAAAATGATAATTTTATTGATAGTAGCCTGAACCTTATCAGCTTGTTCGTAACACATGTTACAATTCCAAAGATCCCTTCTCTTATCACTGAAATCGAAAAGAAACCTCTTATCAAGATATATATATATATATAAATGAAAAGAAAAAAGAAACCCAGCAAACACGACTAGTTAACCCCTACAAACTAGGTGGATCATTATGCATGACTAAATGCCACCACACATCCCAGAACAACAGGAGAATAAAGAATTAAAGGATATCCTGTCAAAAAAATCTGAAGTATAAACTTGAATATATACTACAAGGACGAGAGAATTGGTGGGGTCTTTGGTAATTCCATATACTTACATGAAAAAAAATAATAAGGTTTAAATATTTTTAACAAATCATTTAAGTAAATTCGTGTAATTTTAAATTAGTAGTTAATGAAAACCCTCTAAATTAAATTATAGTTTAATTATTTTAACTTTCTAATAATGTGTGTGTGTATATATATATATATATTAAACTAAGCTAGTCAACATTAATGTCCCCCCCCCCTTAATTTTTAATATTAGACTAAGAAGAAATGTGGTACGTACATTTTCCCCTCAAATCATTCAGTTGTATATAAGTTGTGCACCCTCTGATTTTGATAGTGGAAGATTGATGAGTTTTGCAAGCTTTGACCAGGCGTAGTAAAAAGATGTGACATGGAAATTCATTAAAAACCTTATACATACATATATATATATTACTTTTTCATTTATCCATTACATGCTGCAGGGAGAAATTAACAGTTCTTTCCTTTTTAATAAGTTGTTTTGAAAATGATGTGCACCCAATTTTATTATTATATATGTGCATGTGCATTTTCTTAAATTCAACTAATTCATAAAATCGATTTACAATATTAATTATAATCGTTAATATAATTTTATTATTTAACCAAAAAATTAAATTATATTCAGAATTAATTAGTATAATATTTCTGATTAATGTTGCTTCTCATGAAAAGTAGTAACACTGTTGGTTGAAGCTAGAAATGGGAAGGAGTATAAAGAGCCGATTTTCCAACACATATATTCCTTAGAATTTAAGCCATACATTAATATCTGTTGTAGATACACAGTAAATATAATTACTCTTGATCTATCATCTGTACACTTGCATTCTAATTACTGTAGTCCTTACTCCTGGGCTAAGAATATCCAGAATCCTTAGGGTTTATTTTTTTTTCTCTTTACTATCACCTCCCACAATTTCTAACTTGTTAAAGTATGTGTAACTAACTATCTGCATCGAGAACAAATCAATTCAATAATCCCATAATTTTCCTGGGCTTTGGAAAAAAATTCAATTTATACATATATGTATGTGTATGTTTGATGGTCATCTTGGTTGACTATTAATTAGCTAGCATCTAACTATGGATTTCATTATAATTAATTTTAAGTTTGACATGTAGCAGAGTTCCCATCCCAGAGAATCACATCATATTTTGCAAGTCATGCATATAGATGTGTGTGTGTGTGTGTGTGTGTATAGACACCCACACAAAAGCACACACTACAAGTTTAAACTAATTGTACGACTAGTAGTGATTTTCCGATCTATAACAAATATCTGTCATTCAGACTAAACCAGCATTCCAGATGGGAATTTCTAGCATTGCCTGGAGCAGCCATGTTAATTGTTGAATCATATATATATATATATGAAAAAAATACAGCAACTCAATATTTTTAAAATAAGCAAAGATTTGTATAAATTAAATTAAACCATTAGTTGTTAGAAAATTGTATTATAATTGTTGAAAATATATCACTTTATTAATGAAATAAACAAATTTTCAATCACAAATAGGTTAGAGCAACTGTAAGTATATGAAAAGATAAGAAAACTTGTTTTTTCTCATTAATCATATATGGGTTTGAGAGAAACATGGACAAGTGGTATTATTTCCCCCTAAAAGGTGATCAAATCTAGCTATTGAGGTTGAATATTGATTTTGATTTCTTGATGAATTTAGTAATAAATAATGTATGTTTTTTTGCAGTTAATTTCTTAATATTATACCTTTTTAGGGGATTGATTAGATTTCAATTAACACTTTTTTTGTTTTATATATATATATGTATATGTATATGTATATGTATATGTATAGTTAATTGGTGATTAGAGATTGCTTTATGAATTATTTGGATTGTGGGAATATTTGTTTGCCTATGAATGCATGAGAGATACATATGAGAGAAATGGGGAGACATCCCCACATCATGAGTGATCCATATTATTATTAGATGCAAGGTCATAGTCGTTTTTTTTTTTTTTTTTTTCTTTCCAAGTGTAGCTCCCATTTATTACCTTTGTCTTTTGCCTTCGTTCCTTCTCCATTCACCAAATACTCTTTGCCCTTCCCTTCCACTAAACTCCCTCTCTCTTCTTCCTCCAATTAGCTAGGGTTTCTCTTTTTCATCCCTGTAATATAATTGCTTTTGTACTGGAAGCAAGCAAGGAAGAAAGAAAGAAAGAAAGAAAGAAAGAAAGAAGAAGCTCTTCAAAAAGCTACCTACAATCTAAGAAAGATATATACAAGGCTACCTCTATACTCCAGTACTACTTTTTTACAATTCATCTCCTCAAACAAAAACCTAGATCTCAAACAGGTAAACATGTGTAACCCCTTTTTAGTTTCCTTTTCTAGTGATCTTAATTTTAACTATATATATTCTCCTGTATTTATTTTTTCTTGTTTTTGTCTCTTTTTATTTACTTTCTTCTGTTATAAAACTAAAGCCTAAATAGATGCTAAGAGCCTTTGAGTTCAAACCCTCTAATTCTTAGGGCTTTCTCAGACCTACTTGGATGTACCCTCGATGTTGATCATTATACATAACGTCAATTATCTTCATCATCCAGATCTCATATTATTCAGCGGATTTCCGTAGGGATTTGGTTGAGACTTCTCCAATTTCTGGGCCTATATATGAAAATCTAGTTGGAGAAGAGAGCTGTACAGGAAAACCAAATGAATTATACAAAAGACAAAATTGGCAACTCATTAATTTGAAGTGCACACATGCAGAAACTTAATGTTTTTGGAGTACTGCAATCATCATGAAATGAAAGAAATTAAAAAATTTCTTTCTTTTCTTCTTTCCCCTTTCTTTAATCAAATCAAGAAAGAAAGAAGATAGGGTGACAGAAGAAAGAGAAGGAAACGGAAGTTGCTATAAAACAAGCAAAGGGAAATAAATTCCAAGATGTTAGCATGTGTATATTTATGTGTGTATATATATGTGAGTGTGTGCATGTAAATTATGATCTGAAGGTTTTTGTTGTTTTCATCTTTTTCTGTGTAGGGGCCGCTATTTGTGAGATTAAAGAAAAGAGAGAGAATTTGAACTGCAGACTGGGTATGGAATGATAATTGATCAAACCTACCTTCTTTAAAAATCAAAATTTCAGGATATATGGATCTGTGCTACTAAAGCAGATTCATTCAGGGGTAACCCTAGTACTGATAAAAGTTTTGCAGATGACTCCAGGGAGTAAAATTAATTTAAACAAAAAAAAAAAAAACCAAACAAGTAAAAACATGTGATCATATGCAGTTGATTTTCTAAATATACGAAATACTTATATATATATTATATTTAACCAAGTAATCGAATATTTTGTATATCTCGTTGTAGAGCTTGTGGATTTAACTTGGCTGTACTCCCATTTGTATTCTTACTTTTTTGCTATAATAATAATACATGTTTCTTACTTATTTAATAAATATGTGAATTTATTTACTAAAAAAATGTTGAATTATGTAAGAAAAAAATCTAGCTTACAAATCAAACATGGTTGAATATGGGTTTGGTGCAGTGACAAATGGCTTCATCCAGCTCATACAATTCACCCTGTGCCGCCTGCAAGTTCTTGCGAAGGAAATGCTTGCCGGGTTGCATCTTCGCTCCTTACTTCCCTCCAGAGGAGCCTCAGAAATTCGCCAATGTTCACAAGATCTTCGGAGCAAGCAACGTCACCAAGCTCCTCAACGAACTCCCTCCTCACCAAAGAGAAGATGCAGTCAACTCCCTTGCCTATGAGGCTGAGGCAAGAGTAAGAGACCCCGTCTATGGCTGTGTCGGCGCAATATCTTTTCTGCAAAGGCAAGTTCAGAGACTCCAGAAAGAGCTTGACGCCGCTAACGCGGATCTTATCCGCTTCGCCTGCAACGAGATCCCGACCGCCGCATTGCCTGCATCAGTACTACCAGGCTCTGCAAATAGGCAGAGACCGGTTGGTTTTAGCAGAGGAGTTGGTAATGATGGAGGAGGTTTCTATAACCTACACTCTCCTTCCTTCTCTCAGCTTCCAAATTACCCGTTTCCTTGGAATAATCAAAACCCTTCTGGGGATGTCAATGAAGGAGCTGGAGAAGAAGGAGGCAACATGTGATTTCAAGACTACTTCAATTTCTTGCAATATGGTTTAACCCCATCTAGGGTTTCCCTTGGTGGGGTTTGCTATATATATATATATATAAAGAGCTAGTAGTCTCTTGGGCATGCTGTTTTTATATACATATATACATATGGAGTATATATATATATATATATATATATATATATTTAGTTAAGGTGTCTAGCTAGACTCGATTATCACATGGAGTCTTTTCTAGCTAGAATATGGCTTAAACTACTGTACAATTTTCCTACTGGTTATATTCATTGGCGGTGGGTTTAGTTTACTAAATCCCTCAAGAATGCTATGTATCAGTACGGGATTTGGGAGCTAAATAAAGGCTGTGTCTCTGTGTGTGTGTGTATGTGTGTGGCTACTAGCCTTTTTGTTTGTGTGATTAGCACAGCATGCGCATGTGGAGTTGCTATTCTCTCTTGTCATTGTTTCTGTTTATGAATAAAATAAAATTCAAAAGAGGATTCTCTTAGCCCAGCTCTACTGAATAGTCTTTCTTTACATATATATATGTACATCTTTTTACCTTTCTACCTATACTTTGTTCTTAGGACCACTAGTAGAGGTAATTTACATATATATAATATATCATATATGATTTATAGCCCATGGATTTCAAAAGGATGATCAGCGGATCATCTTTTTGAGATACTAGCTCACACACACATATATACACACCCAAGATGTCCAAATTAAAATTCTACTTCAACTTGCGGTAAAGTTCTTGAATTACTATAATATATATATTGAAGCGCCCTTTTTTATTTATTAATTTCCATGGAATGTCACTTTAATTTTAAGACAAGTTAACAAGAGTGGAAACCTATAGATTTTGGTGGGAAGTAGTTTTTGGAATAGGAAAGAAAGCAGTGTGGGTTTGAAACTTTTGTGCTTGAATTCAAACTCCTTTAATAATTATCTTGTACTGATAAGAGAAGAAATTAAATATAAAAATAAAAGGAAAAGGAAAGAAGAGAAAACCCAAAAGAGGAGTTTTAAAGCTATAGCTTTGTGTAGTTCCTCATCCCCAGTAATCTGAAACAGTAAGTCACAGTTGCTGCATTAATGGATCCAATATGTAAAAAGCAGCTGTGCTTCTTAGTAAGGATTTTCAGCTTTTTCTTCTTCCCCACTCTTCACTGTTGTCATCTTATCTCGCCCTAGTACTTCCCAGACAAAACAGTTCCTCCTTGGACAATACACAGTTTAACTCCCCTCCCTCCATAATTCTAATGTATATATCTCATTTTTTGTATGTGTATATATGCATATATTAGATGACATTATGTGATGTTGCCATATCAATGAAATCCATGCATATTTTTATATATTTATGTACTTGTTCAAGAGGGTGAAATAATGCATGCACATCTATGCATTATATTTATCATTAACACTTTCCCAAAAATAAAAGAAAAGAAAAGAAAAGAAAGAAACCCATCATCAGCGAGCTCCAAATTCATAAACCCCAAGAAGATATAATTGGTGATCCAACCTAAAAGCAATGGAAAATTAGGGTTAGGGTTTCATAGATATCACCTTTAAAATCACATGTTTTAATCAAGATTTCCTCTCCCTTTAATTCATCTGTGGAGAAAAAAAGAATTACTTATAAGCAGTGATCGTCATTGACCATTTAGAGTTAATTAAATATGCATAAAACTAAGCTAAGAAAAAAAAAAGAAAGAAAAGAGAGTCGAGGTTAATAGGTATGTATTGTGTAGTAGGTAGCAAGTAAGAATTAAGAGAAGAATATAGAATTTTCTTTATTTTCTTCGACTGTCAAAATTCTCATCATAATAATCTTCATACCCACACGTTTGCATTCATGTGTCGCTGTTAAATGTTGCAGTACAAAATTGATTTCGTCATTAAACACCAACCTTCCTTCCCCCTTCACTTTTTGTCAGTCTCTTTCATATATCTCTGTATATAGACAGTAGCACTGCAACTTGAAAACTTAATCTTTAGAAATTAAAATTTGGATAATTGAATGCATATGATGATGATGATGATAATTCAGGAGATATGTATATATAATAATAAACACATATACAGTTGATGTACTTTGGGTGCAGAGGGGAGTCAGAGTGGGTACATATGGCCTTTTTTAATGGAAGTGGCGGAAGTGTTTTTCTCTTAGATTTAAAAAAAGAAAAAAAGAGTGAAAAAAAGGAGATGAAGAAGGAGAAGAAGAAGAAATGAAAATGGATTTTGTGCAGAAGAATGAAAAAGTGAGTGATTGAGAATCCATCAATCTGCAAAGACGTGAGAGAGAAGCAAAGAGCAGTGTGACAAAGTTGGCAGACGACATACACCAGAGATTCAGATACGCAGGGTCCTATTTTTATACGCAGCACACAACACCTCACAGACGCACTCATCAACTCTCACCACTATACATATATATATATATATATATATATATATATAACTACTGTTGTCTCAGACAAAATAAAACAAAATTAATCTACCCCTTTTATGTATTATCATAATAATACCAACTTATTAGATATATTAAAGTGGTTTCATTTTAAATAAAATTTATTTATATTTATTTTTTAAATATTATTTAAATAGTAATATTTTATTTTTAAAAATTCAATTTATGTATAAACTTATTTAAAAACATATTAAATTATTAATTTTTAAATTAATAAAAATTTAAATTTTCTTAACCTAAAAAAACTCATTGGGAATAAAATTATAGTAATTTTTTTTTTTCTCTATTTACAATCATTTCTTAATTGTCTTGTAAATGATTCATTAAAATTAATCAATGCATGTGAGTGAAATTTCTGAGTTAGTCAAGATGAGACTAGTTTGGTGGGTTAAGATGCAGATGGAGGAGTATGAAGAAGCTCTGTCAATCACAACTGTGTATCACTCTGATATTTATATTTAATTAATTAGAACCCAATTAGACCAACAATTTTTAATTTAAAAAAAAAAAAAAAAATCATAAAATTATTACTTTTTTGGCTGCCTTTTTTTATGTATTTTTTCACGTCTAATCAAATTAATTAACTATTAATAGAAAGAATTACCGCAAGAAAGACCTATTATAATTATTATTATTTTCTTTCTTACAAAATCATAGGAAAAAAAAGCAGACAATCTCCTAATTGGTTTTCATGATATAAATTATTTTTTCTCTTTGAAAAATAAGATAAATTTTTATTAGATTGGAAGATTTGTATTAATTATATTATATTATATTATAATTGCATATATATAGATAGTGAAACTTTAAAAAGAAATGAATGAAGATACAATTGATGGGAAGATTAGTAAGTAGTTCATCAATTTAGTTTCACGGCCATCGTTGGATACGTAACATATTAATCGTTGCAAGATTTGGTATAGATCACTTATCATTACCCAAATCTAAGTGGTTTAGTTCAAAAATTAAATTTAATAAATAAAATTAACTATGAGTTCATTATGCATATATATAAATATACTCAATAATAATATGCGTATTTAGTTCAACTTAATTATCGTAAACAGTCTCTATATATATATACTTTAGAACTGGCACCTACCAGTAGGGCATTCAGACATGCGGGGATGTCACATGCATGCACAAGTATACTCTTGAAATAAATTAAGGTTTTGTACATGGCTAATCTATACATACATATAAGTTTTTTAATACATACTTTATGATGGCTTCACATCTAATCTACGGCGAAAGTATTTTCTTTTGTCAGATTGCCAATGATGATGGCCATGATAATTGCCATCATGTGTACTGATTATAAAGCTAAAACAAGATTAGCAGTTGAAATTTGGGTCTTTATATATATATATATATATATATATATATATACTTATGTCTTTAAGCAATGTGATCTATAAAGAAAATCAGTGGTGCCATTTTCTTATTCTGACTAAATCTATAGGAATATGTGATTGTTCCTATCAGTATATATATATGTGTGTATATATATATATTATTAATTCTGGGTATCTTTTCTTTTTTTTCATTTTCCTTTCCTGCGGAAAGTTATACCCTCTAATCTTTCAAGAGAAGTATTAAGATGAAAATTTAATTGAAATTTAATCTAATAGTTTCTAATTAATCATCAATAAGTGAAACGAAGAGTTAAATTTTTAACAGACACATTTTGTTTTTTAAAATAAAAATTCATGTATTTCAGTACTTAAGTAATAATTATGTAATAGTAGTAATAATACATCTGAAACAAATAGTCTAAACCTTAAATTTTTAGGCTTATAAATAAGGATAATCCACTCAAAAAATAATAATAATAGATTAGATAAGTTCTCACTTGATTAAAAAATATTTAAAAACTGATTTTACTATATATATCGCACTTGACTCTGAACATGTAGAATTAATTTATATGATCAAATTTTATTTACTCGACGAACTTCTTTTTAACTAGGCAATGACTTCAGTCTGTCATATTATATAATATAATATGTGTGTGTGTGTGTGTGTGTGTGGTACTTTCAAAATTCAATATTTGCTTTGTGTTTGGGCCATGTAAGGTACCGCGTATACGTAAATATTATTATATACATACGATTTTGTGATTTTACTTCTCTATAGGTTCAGGTTCTGTTGATCTTATTGTGGACTGGATAAGGGAGGGACATAAGGTAATTAAGTTATATTAACTTTTTCAAATTGTAAATTTGATTTGGATTAATAATAATTAATAATTAAATATTAATAAAAATAATAATTATCACTTAATTTCAATAAGTAGTTAGTTATCACAATTTGATAGAAATTGAAAAAAAAAATATACAAAAAATAAGACCTATTCTCTCTCTTTGAAGTTCTTCTTCAGTTATTCATGTGAAGAAAAATCAATTTTTTATTTGATTTTTTCTTCAAAAATTTAGATTTCTATGAAAAAATATTTATGTTGTGATTATTTTTATACAGTTTATTATTTAATAATGTGATTATATGTACATTGATATTTAAAAATTATATTTATTTATGAATTATATGTTAATTT